TGTTGATATTTGAACCTGGTGTATGTGGCCTGAAGCTATGACATCGAAGCAACTGACCTCTGCCGGATGAGCAAAACGTACACTCCAATGCAAATGTATTGCTTCAAATGCGAAACATTATAGACGATGCACGCACAAAGCGTACCATTGAACAGCAAAAGCTCGTTCGCAGCGTATAAATATATATGTATATATATATATATATATATATATATATATATATATATACATGCATATAATGCATATTATATATAACATATCAAATATAAGCATCAGCTTATAAAGCACTCTTGAGTCGGCTGGATGACAATGCAAGACCACCGCGCAAAAAATTGCATTCGACGAATTCCTCGCCCGGAGAGCTGCAGCCCGGCCAAGTTATTTAGTAATGCAATCGTCTCACTGACATTCGTTTCCCAGAGCTTCTCATCTTCGCAGCGGTAACAACTGCGAAGACTTAAGGGCTAGGCATACTAACCAACCCCTTGGGTTACACATCAGACGATTCCAGTCGCCCCAGAAAAGCCGCGGGCACAAAGCGAGCTTAATGAGAAAATCCTTGTCTGAGACTAGCCAAAATAATGTGCGTAAAGGCCTTCCCGGCAAGGCGCACTAATTAAGCGGCTGTACAACGCCGGCAATTCTGCTGGAGTCCGCGGCATCGGATGATACCCATTTGCGGTGGAGCCGTTCGAGCCCATACACATCACATGCCATCGCAGACCGACGAAGTCTCCTCCGCATGGAAGGCGTCGAAGTTTCCGCACCGCGCCACGAGCGGCCGCACCGAAGGACGGATGACACCTGGCTCGACAGTGAGCCAGCCAGCGGCAAGCTGTTGGTCAGACGACCGGCGAGGAGTGAGCTCCTCCAACCAGCCGACATACGTCTACAGATATCCGTTAGTTCACTGCGGACTCCGAAGCTGGTAAGCGCTTGTCACGTGTTTGGTGCCGCCACGTTCTGGCTCTTGCTGTTTATTATCTCCGCGCCCAGTCTTAGGTGGACGAAAATGCTGACAGCTCAACAAAAACGATGGTTAAAAAGTGCGGTGTAAGAGCTTTCTGCGTTACCGACGGAGGAGTCAGGAACTTATACATACGCATACGACTTCGTGTGGGGGTATTACGATGAAACATCGTTGGTTATCATGGGTGTAACCGGGTTGGCGGGATCACCTACACGGGTTTTAGCTCAGTCCACCTGCCGGCGAGTGTCGCGTGGGCTATGCTTAAGCCATGTGTGACAGACAGACATCACATGTCTCTGATATAAAAAACTTCTTGTCGGCAAGAAATGCGCTGCAAAGAGGTTTTTTAGACTGATTTTATTAATTGCATCACCCTGAAACCTGAAGGCCTTTGCAATTACCGTTGCCTCTCCACGTCATCCAAGGTCAACCCGGGTCACATGATGACCTTGATAACCAATGCTACTTTTAGAAGGTCATACGATTTATACTGTAATAAAACATATGACACGGCCATAAAGGTAGTTCTAACGCTGTTATCCCAAAGTGATGCGGTTTGTTTACTTCTTTACATAGCTGGACGGGCCAACTTACCAATAGCAGTCAGCCCTTTTATCGGACATGACATCACAGGTATTACCTGACGACGTCCACTGGTGCATTTCTGAGTTTTCCCAAGAGCTACATAGCGCATTTTCCGTACTGCCGTAGCACGCTTAGTTCTTGAGATGGCATGGGACCTACAAAAAGCTAGTTCGACCCCTATGACCTAATTTGACATGCCCATGCCAATTTCCATAAAATAGTCGCAACTATCACACAGATCGAGGAAACCCTTCCAATGCCGTTTTCCCTGTGCCTCTGACTTGTCCATTTTTTAGAACCTAGGGGAGGGGGTTGGAACCGTTCGTAGGCTTAACGTTACGCTACATCCCGTGGTAGCTAGATCATTTATGGACACATACAAGCACTCTGAAATGAGCGGCGCATTCTGCTACGCGGATTGTATCAGGGCCATTGTAATCTGCAGCGGCTGGGATTCAAGCTGGGGTCCGGAATTCGAGCCGTGCTAACCACACCAGGATCGCCATCTCGGTCTCCAGCGGCGGCGGCATTTCCGGGCACGCCATCGAACGCACTTCGCCGACGTCAATTCGCCGCAGGCCGCGGCGGCAGCACAGGTCGAGCGGCCCCCGCCGGAGCGGCTGCCACCTCCAGCAGCCGAGCGCCGAGCACCGGCTGGCGGGCCGACGGCCGCCCGCCACCACTAATGACGCGCGAGCGCAACGATGGAGTGGCCGCCTGAAATCAATGCCGGCGCGCCGCTCCGACAATGCCGCGGGGCCGATCGGGACGCGCACGCGGACGCCACGTGGTGCAGCCGCCACGTGCCACGTGGTGCAGTCGCTGCGAGCTGAATGAAGCGCGGCCGGCGCTCGGCAGGCCACTTGGAACACAGCGCAAGGCCACGCGCTGGGCGGGCAGCAGCGCGCTTATTGAGCCGATGAATGCATCGTATGTAAGTATACGAGCGAGTACGAATTTGCGAGCGAGACATAAGTGGGCGGGTAAGTACCAGTGTGCATATGTCTAGGCGGCCACGTCGGTGAGTGCTCTTCCCGATCGATCTGCGGCATGCGCATTTGCCATCATGTCTTATCGCACCGCGCTCGTGAAGTAGACAGAGGATTATGTCCAGATGCTAAGTGCAACGCCCCACTGACTGACCCCAGCTGTACTTAAAGCGGCCAAGAAACAAATAATGGCTTAAGTTACGAAGGGTTGTAAGCGGTTGACATTATGCAGAACATACCAGTGCTGGACTCAGAACATTGTAACAAGGGGGGGGGGGGGGGGGGGCGGGGGGCGGGGGGACGCAACATTGTAGGCGTCGCTGGAATTTGGGGAGCTCGCCGAAAAATTTCTCAGACATCGCCCATGCAGCTTGAATGTGCTTAGCTTTGCCATTTTTATATGGAAAAATGGCAAAAATAATCACCCTGTGCGCAGACCTGGAAATCAGGCGTGGTACTAAGATATGCATGCAATGGGCGCATTCATTTCCTCTAGATCATTATGAATACCTTCATTTCGAGGCTTACTGCTTCGGAGATCATATGGCAGAATAGGATTACGTTACATGCCAAACATCATCGAATCCCGCACGATATCTGATTCCAAAGTTAATTGCGGCTAACCAGTGTACGGTGGCTAGCCGACCAGTGGATATTGTGAACAGCTGATGGCTCGGGCTAACGCGGACTTTTTGTTGCGACTTTAATGACGCAGTACGATATATGACCAAATTGAAACTGCATTAAGAGTGCGAGGTACAAGTATAATGAATGTCATCAATTCAACAACAAAGGGATGCAAAACATACGCCACGCAAAATTCATCAAATACGAAGCTGCTACCATCTGCGGCTAAAGCGCCCACCAGAATCATCATCTTGTATAGGTTTAGGACCTGTAAACGTGAATTTATATATCCGGACTCACATACTAGAGCAGTCGTCATTGGGGCTCTGCGACGCACTCCGCTGCTGAAGCTGAGCTACCCATAGTGTAGTGGTTAAGCAGCGCGTGTAGAAGTCAGAGGTACGGGTATAATTCCCCGCCATGTCCGCCCTTCCTGCCAGGGTGAGCCGCAGTTGACGTCATATTGTTCCAGCAGCTGAGTGCGTCGTAAAGCCCCAATGTCACACACAGCTGCACGCGTCGCCTGCTTCTCACCCTGGCAGGAAATGCGAGCACCAGGGCGGGGGAAGAACCAAACAACACAGCAATCCGCTCGATTCCTTGCCCCTAACACATGTGGTTAGGGACAGGGGATCAAGAATTAAGCGGAGGAAAATCGATCCGTGAAAAGAAGACAGCAATCGTTAAGATAGTTAGGGTACAAGGAAGGAAATCAGACAGCCTGACGGGAGCTGGGCCATGTCTTTTCCCAGTGGCGCATGGAGATGTTAGCGATGGTTTGATGCAGAAACAGAGGGGTGCCGGTAGTGTAATGGTTAAGGGGCTTGCGTTGACCGCTGCTCGTCTGGGAAACAAGAGGTACGAGGTTCGATTCCCCGCGGTGCCCGCCCCTCCTGCCAGGGTGAGAGGCAGGTGACGCCATATAGCCTCAGCAGCTGAGTGCGTCGTAAACCCCCAATGACATGACATGACGCAGAAACAGACCCATGCTTACGTGGTCTTTCAGCCGATGAAACTTCATATTACAGATGAAAACCAACTCATCACGAGACATACGGATACTTCAAATATTTTACTGTTTTTCCCATCACTTCCGTGGCTGTCAAAGCGAGACGTAGACGCAACACACTGTCCATGGTTTTTCACGAAGGAATATTGACAAACTAACTTCCTAAATCCGAGCTATACATGAGATACTGGAACTACATTGTACGCTTGTAAGTTGCTTAGCAAAGTCTTACCATGTAATCATTTTTTGTTGTCGGAGGAGTGAGGACAGGAAAGCGAAACTTAGGCGGTTTATGGGCGACATAGGACTAGAAGATTAAGCTGTGTCTCAAGTCGACAGCCGACTGCAAGCCGTGTCTCAACTTGCAAGGTGATTGCAAGCTGTGTCTAAACTCGCAAGGTGATTGCAAGCTGTGTCTCAACTCGCCAGTCGATTGCAAGCTGTGTCTCAACTCGCCAATCCTCATTCAGCCAAAGTGTGATCATCGGCAGTCAACGGCGATCTGCCATGGGATCATGGAGCGTAATGATAGGTGCTGCGTACTTAGGCATTCCACAGCGAGTGGAGTTACATCCTCATGGTTCCCTTCACCTCAGACTGACCTGTCCAGCAGGACAATCGCAGCGCATAATCTATTGATCTAAGCCCTGACTTAACCTGACATATTGCTTCGCCTTTCGTCAGGCAGCGGTGGTTGGTCCGCGCTTGGCATGTCAGTATCACATGTGTCATTACAGTGATACAGTATGTCACCTGCTTTTTTCCTAGCGCGTTTTTATCTATGATGTTGTCTGAACCCGGCCGCTCGTGGAGTACTCACCACGCCGACCACGTTGCTGATGCCGATGACGGAGATGAGGACGCTGGCCTCTTCGTCGGTGGCGCCGCCACTGATGGCGTGGTCGGCCAGGTACACGTACGGCACGTCGTAGAACATGTACAACACGAAGTTGGAGAGCGCAAACAGCGTGAATGCCGGCAATCGGAAGAAAGAGACGTCCAGCATCTTCTGCAGCACGCGCAGCACGTCCCGCACGCAGCTCCAACAGCCCTGGGGGGGGGAGACGAGCGCGGCATCAGAGACAGGGCTGTGTGCACCAGACGGGGGAGGATTGGAAGACCGTCAGGTGGCCCGCCTGCCATTCGGTGCATCAGACTCGCGCACCGACACTGCACTCCTGCCATCGCGCTCACGCCACCCGGGCCGTCGGCAGCCACCCAACCGTGCACAAGCCAAGTACTTCGCCGAAAGGTGGACGCTCAGGAACACAAAATACGCGTCGCATTTCAAAATTAATCGCGTGATTTCTTAAACAGACGGTTGATGGCAACTTACGGGCGGTTTTAAGAGTCGTGCTTCGTTTCAATGACGTTGCTTATTAAATCATCATGCGTTACGCCTATTAAAAGCTTATACCTTAGGCCACATCAGCTGTGACTTCAAACAAAATGACGCGTCCCTGTCGAAGAGTAAAAAGTGAGTTTCAGCTACCATCGTCGCAGAATTTTCCGAAGTCCGAACTCAATAAATACCGCACCCGTATTGAACTCTGACAACCCGCCCGCCTGAAATTCACCGGCCGCTGTTGCGCCGCAAAGCGACACATTTGTTACGTGATTCTGCCGAAACGCACCACTTCAATGTTCACTCCCTGTCAGCAATCCTCGTCCAGCAAATCCAGATGCCCAAAGCGGCAGACAGCGCCACAGTTCCCAACAACATATCATGGGTCGTGCATTCGCGAGGGCCAACGAACGTGTCACGGGTACACATGCGACCGCAAACATCGCTGACCAACCGCAACCGGCCCACTCATGATGATACCGTGCGATGGCCATTCACTGAGGGTCGTCTCGGGCGCCGCCACCCGCCGTCAGGGCTGCACGCGAGTGACGCGGGCGCCACCTGGCCAACATAGAGCTGAAGGCGGGCCGACACTCCCGGCAGGAGATGGCTCACCAAAATGCCCTAGCGTGGTGAGACGGCTGTGTCTGAAGTTTGGGTGTTTCTTGGTGTTTCTGGCTCCAGTGCATACTATTCTACATGAATATACGCATATCATTCTACATGAATATACGCTAGAAATAAACAACTGTTCTCTGCGGGCATTGTAAGACGAAAACGACGCTGCCGACAGCCATCCACAGCACCGTGTGACGCACTGCAAACAGCTGGTAGAAGGGTGCTGCAGGCGAACTTAAAGGACGCTGACGTCACTCCCACACAGTGCTTCCTTTCAACGCGCTCCGCAGACTGAGCCTGGCAACCCACCTACGCAGACCCACAGCCCTGCACGTCATCAAACGCAGAATTCTGCGAACCATACTTCAAGCAACGAAACCATCTCTCGACAGAGCGTGCAGCAAAGGAGCACTGAGCAAACCGAAATGCTAGCGAATATCCTGTACGCGCGGTGCTACGGTGCTTCGTGCGATCCCGTAGTTGGTGAAGAAATACATCACGTCACGCTAAATTACATCTGAAAATATTGAGATCTTGGCACCGGTTTTGAGAAAACGCTTAAGTAAGGCATTACATATTAATCAGATATAATGTTATGGGCCTTATCACCGTTTCATTCATTAAATGATCGTAAAGTAAGACCGAAACGTCAAAAGCTTCCTTGGACACTCGCTCTGGCACTCCAAGTCAAGCTTGCAGACGCGTCCAGCTCTAGGGAAGAATATTGCATTGGAGAACAGGCATATTTTCCGCAAGAAAATGCGAGCTTAATACGGGACAAAAGCGCAAGGAAGTGATACAGAAAAACAGCTTGCGTCGGTGAAAAGATGTAGCAGATGCCAACTGTGCAGGGATGGTTTTCCCGGTATGGAGGAAATAACGTCCGCCGCTGAGACATTGATCTCAGAGCCCCGAGCTCACAACAGCAATATTCTAAAGCCCCAAACGGGTGTAGCTTGGTGCGTACTTTGGGGGAGGGGGGGGGGCTGAGGAGAAGAGATCCAAATCAATAGTAAATGAAGTGCTTTCTGCCTGCATTTGACTAGACTTCCCTCAAAGCTGAGTGGAGGGGCTACGCAATTATCTAACTGAATAAGAAACTACATTGTTGGTCCCCCTAAAAATATAACTAGGTCAGTAGAACACCAGGTGTGTATTACGTTGCCCCGGCATCCGTCCCTCAAGTGAGAAAGATACTACACATGCAATCGCATCGCCTGGCAGGTGGCTACACTGACCACTATGTGCCCGAATTTCCTCGTTGTATTTTGGTGACCTGCATGACATTTCAATCATGTCATGACGTGGTCATAACAGCTGTACAACATGTTAAGCATCGGTTTCCTTCAGTATTTGTTTGAGACTCGCTCCTCTTTCAGAATGCAACTGCAAATAAAACACAACTTTCGATGTGCGGCATAGTTTCAAGAAGAAGTGTGTTTGAGCATACACTTAACAAGAAAGCACTTACCTGGGAAGGTAGCAACTTTCGGGATAAAAAGCTGTACAACTTTAACAGCTTGACAATCACTGAGACCAGCCTGTGCATGGTATGCAATGTCAACTTCTGCTATAGAATGCCCTACAATACCAGTTTTGTGCAAATTGCTAATTCACCAGGGCTGTTTCGTTCTTACCTCAAGCCGCAGTTTTGCTTTTTCACTCAGCACCCACAACCAAAAGTCAGATGCTGTAAGACGGCGAAGAAACCAGTACAGAAAACACAGTCTGTCGCCTGGTTAACCTGGCAACACGCTCAAAAAAGAGGGGCATTACCACTGTCATCAGAAAGGAAACGGTGACAGCGATAATGGGTTCCTGCGTTCTGGAGGCGACAGTGCTTGCACGCAATCTTTACGTAACATTACGCACACCACCCCCGCCCAACTCCTCCCAACACCCTTCCCGTACTTTTCAACTCAATGCTTGCCTCTTTCAGTCAGCTGGCGTCAGCTGCCAGCTGGCGTCTGTCGTGCCCGCGTTTCAGAGCAGGAGCTGCAGGACCCAGCACGCTGGGGTCGAGGCCGAGCCGCGCCAAAACGATCGATCGGCTGTGGTGGTGGCGACCTCATCACAGCTAACCCTGACGTACCGACCTCATCACAGCTCAGCAGATCGTCCATCGTTCGAGGCATGTTTGTCAGCGCTGCGGTGAAGTGTTGCTGACGAACGCAGGGAGGCGGGGAACCCCATCGCGGGGAACCCCATCCCGCGCCGGGTCTGCGCGCTCCAGTCGAGTGTTGCTGGCGGGTGCCGACAGGCGCAGGAGATCACACCGTGAGAGGCGCGAGAGCCCCATCACCACGCTTCGTGCAACGTCTGCTTTGAGGCATACGGACCAGCGACGACCAGAGATCTGTGATGTAGGGGTTGAGAACCAGGGAGGCTGAGGTTGAAGGTTCAATACTGGGAAACGTCCGCACGGATTATTTCTGTTTATTCGGCACACCTCCCACTTTATTATTTTATTTTTATTTATTATATCACGTTTATTACATAACATATTTCCACAGGGGTGCAAACGATAGCTCGGCTGCCCAATACGCCTCTCACCGTTGGAAGAAATTAGTTGCGTAGTGTGCAGGTGGATACATACTGTTCATGGTGCACAGTGTCATCGCCTCCACCGACGAGGCCGAGTTTGGATCCTGGCCAGCGGGCCGAAATCATTGCCTTTATCATTAATTTTGAATTTCTGGCTCAGATGAACATGTCGCGCCTTTGTAAGCACATCAATGCACCTGGACGCTGCCCAAAACGAAGTGGATCACATATGCAATTCATCACACTGCCGAATGCAGTCTATTGTGGGAACTATGCAAACTCTCGAGGGTTGTCATGTTGCTCAAAGCTTGACATACATTGTCATTGACTTGTCATGTTGCTCAAAGCTTGACATACATTGTCCTGAAATAATGTCACTTGTTTTCAGCACTATGATCTTTTGTAAACAAACGGAATATTCGGTGAAAGGATTTCATGCAATAATAATGATTCGATCAAGGTCCATTCTGATTGCTTTCACATTTCCGATCGCTTTTTATGTTGTCATCATTCCCCCAAATTTCCTGTCCTGTCCCACGACATCGGCTCAGAAAACCCAACACTAACCTCAGCGCCAGACCTGGGCGATGGCGACTTTCTCAGTCCAAATGACGACCTTCAGAGAGCCTCCGGGACGGGACGGGGAAGGAATGGACGCCATCCATCTGGGCTGTGCAGACGAGAGCCAAATTACACCCGTCAGCAGGGTACCTGAGATCCGTCCGGTTCAGGATCCGGACCCGGATCCGCGTACCGCTGCCACCACCGGAGGAGCAGTCCCGAGTGGTTGAGCCGTCCCGAGTGTTCCCTAGCCCACGCGCTCGCATTGCGTGGTCCCGGTCTTCGCCAACTCGGTGTTTTCGCCGGTGAACATTTAAATACGGACCAAATTTGTTCACATCCAGATTAAGTCACCATCTGCCCGTGGGGCGAGAGCCATTAACAGTGGAATTGGTTCTCTTGAGAGAATGAGAGAAGCGGCAGGTTTAAATTTGTTTACGGGGATTGGATTTCAGCCATGGTTCGGTTACGCATTTTTTCAGAAACTTGCAACCGTAAGCAGTTGAGTCCTATTATGAACCATTTTATTGCTGGCACGTTCCTCCTTTCATTGCAATTCATTTAACGAGTTTTCAGAGCAGCAAGGACGGTCCCACTCCAAATACCCCTAGCTTAAATGACCTGACTCAATCAGCCTATTTTATGTGATACGTACGGTTCAGTATAAGCAAATACAAAAGACCGTAGCACGTAAGGCATCACAAAACATGCAGCCAACGCCCATCCTGAATCCATCACGAGCCCAGCAGAACAAAGAAATCCCGATATTCGCCTATGCAGCAAATCGAACGACCCCCCAAATGACCTTCGGGGATTTAGAACGCAATCGATGCCGTTGCCTTGACGCCCACATATTGCCCTGCATTATTTAGAAGACAAGGCCGCCTCATCCGTCACCATTGTTTAAGCATGGAGCTCAGTAAGTGCAGCCGAGATCACCGGCAGCGTGTAATACCACTCCATCAGAGGAGACGCAGTACAGG